GGTGGCAACAGGATAGGTAGGGCAAGGTCTATTGTTTATAGGGCCTTTATGAATTGTCAACTTGAAGGCATCTGACAACACTTAGGAGAAATACAAGTGGCATAGACTTCTCAAATCAGTCTCCTGGGAGGGACAGTTTGAGGAAGTATTAGCAGCCTAGGCTCTGGCAGTGTAGTCAAGAGGGAGTTACACTGCTAACGTAAATGTGGTACCTTTCTAGTGGTTCTAATCCAGCAGGGGATCCAGGAAGAAAGATGAGAAAACTCCTCCTTTGTGATTTACAGCTTCTGAAAACCCCTGAAGGGTCAGCTATTGGTCAGTTCTGACTCAATGCCTTCTCTGAGGCCAGTTGCACAAACATTTTTAACAGAAAACAAGAAATTCTTTATCTACTTTAGAAATCCTGGCTTTTGCCTTCTTTGTTTTTCAAGCAGTAAAGTTTTGAGCAGAAAAAGATTGGTTTCTTTTGGAAAGCAGAAAACAATTCTTAGTTTCATATCAAACGGAGTTTCAATTGAGTTCTGTCGTGAACTTGCTCAGATACACTAATACTTCTATTCTTCCGATATTTGCTACCACAGAAAGCAACATCTATCTCATTTCAGCCACTGTTAAAGTGGTGGCTCTTACAATCCATATCCTAATTAGAATAAAAATTGCTATTCACAAGGCTCATGCAGGTTCCAGGGAAGTGGACCTCTTGATGGAAATAGTTTAGAAAGCTTTCATGTCATGTGTAGTGTTTTTTTTCTTTGTTTGTTTTTACAAACTATAAAGCAAAGTTTATTGTAAGACAAATGTATAGCAAGGAACTTTATAAGTAACGAAATGCTACACAAGTGTAAGGTAATATGATTATATATAGTTGTTTTACTTTTTCAATACAACATATAGTGTTGTTTTGGGGGGTTCCCCCCTCCCCCCCGGAACTTAATTCACTTTATTTGTTATACAAAATCCACTATGTGGTAGCCATAGTAGAGCCTGAGTCCTCTGCATGGAGACTCTGGTGTGAGTCTTTGAAGATGGTCAGTGAATTCCTGGTAGGGAGACTTGGTGAACACAGTCTCTTTCCAGAGATCAGGGGTCAAGTAGCTGTAGGTCATGGCAATGGCATCAAAGGTGGCCTTGGTGAAGCTGCCCCGGGTAGCTGTGCAGCCCCTGGCAGAGGTGTAGCAGTCATCAATTCCGGCTAGCAGCAGCAGCTTCTTGGGCACAGGGGCCCAAGATTCCAGTGCCTCAGGGTGCAGGGATTAGATACACCAACACAGAGTCACAGTGCCCAGTCACTTTGCAGGGAACAGTGTGAGGCTTTCCAGTCTTGTTCCCCCAGTAGCCATGCCACACAGGAACAATGAAGAGCTTGGCCAGGATAATGGCCCCACGGATGGTAGTAGCCACCTCCTTGGAGCACTTGATGCCCAAGCCATTGTAGTCTCCAATGGCAACAAAGGCCTTGAACCTGGTCCACTGGACTGCCCTTGTCTGCTTCTGCACAGGCATGACTTTCAAGATCTAATCCTTGAGGAACATCCCCAGGAAAAAGTCAATGATCTCAGACTCTTTGATGCTCAGTGAGAGGAGATAAATCTCCTCCAAGGATTTGATTTTCATATCTTTGACTCCTTGTCCTCGGCTTTGCCTCCTCGAGCTCCTTGGCTCCTCCCACAGCCCCATCCACGGCCAAGCGTGGCCCGGGCCCTGCCAGACCACTACCGACCCCGCAGATTGCTACCAAAGCCTCCAAGGAAACTGCCACAGGCTCCCATCCTAGGGCACCTGGGGCCTCCGAGCCCTCCCACTGCACCGATGTCATTCACCATTTGGTGTTTCTTAGAGAAGCAGCTATATATTCGTTTTTTACAATATATTCTTCCCATTTAATTTTTTTCCCATTCATTCATTGTTGCACATTTTCCTCCTTGCCCACTCCTCCTCCCAGGTCTCTTTTCTCTTTGAAAAGAAAAAAAAAATTCTTTCATTGTTATACAATCAACCCCTTCCTGGCAAATCCACAGTCCACTTTACTATCCATTTCTGTTTCTGAAATCTTGTTATGAAACTAATACCTGATCATATATTCCTTTTAAACAGTTCTCCCCCTCATCTGTTCAATGCAGTATACATTATTTATCCCCTCTTTTCTTAAGTTCCCCTCAACCTTGATGTTAGTCTGATTTTACAACAGTGGCACTATGCAGTATTTGTCCTTTTGTAACTGAGATATTTTACTCAGCATAATGTCTTCCAGGGTCACCCATTTTGTATAATATTTCATGAGTTCCTTGTTTTTCGATGCAGTATAGTATTCCATTCTCTATCCATTCGTTTGTTGATGGGCCCTTACGTTGTTTCCAACTCTTTGCTATTGTGAACAAAGCAGCAATAAACATGGGTGTGCATATATCTGCTTGGATGTCAGCTATGGTCTCTTCAGGGTATATTCCCAGTAGTGGAATTGCTGAGCTAAATGGTATTTCTATTTCCAACTTTTTGAGAAAGTGTCATATAGCCTTCCATCGTGTTTGTACTATTTTACACTCCCACCCTGCTTAATTTTGCTATTCTTACTGGGGTGAGATGATATCTTATAGTTGTTTTTATTTGCATCTCTCTTGGAGCTAGGGATTTTAAATACTTCTTCATGTATTTGTTTGCCATCTGAATGTCTTCTTTGGTGAAGTGTCTGTTCATAACCTGTGTCCATTTTGCAATTGGATTGTTCACTTTTATTTTGTGTCACTCGAGTATTTGATAAATTCTAGATGTAAGTCCCTTGTCAGACATGTCATTGACAAATATTTTTTCCCAGTCTGTGGCTTCCCTTTTTACCCTGTTGGAGAAATTTTTGGATGTGCATAGTGATTTGATTCTTAGTGGATCCCATTCATCTATTTTATCTTCTCCTGCTTGTAGGTTGATGTTTTTTGGGGGGTTTTTTTTTAAAATTATTAAATTTTATTCATTTTAATGAACATTTACAGAGATTTTGGATTTCCATTCATTCATTGTTGCACTATTTTCTCTACCCTCCCCCCCATTTCGTTCTTCTTTCCCCGCTCCCTTGAAAGTGTGTTTTAATTGTCCCATTGCCACAGTGCTTGTCAATGATGTTATGTTTTTAAGATCATGAGGATGGTGCCAGACAGGGCAATGTTCAGATCTACTGTTCATAGAATTGCCATGTGTCACATTTGACTGGATGCTGTCTAGCAAATAACACAACACAGGAGCACAATTAGAAAGACCAGAAATTGATACAAATCTGCTTCCCTTCATGTCCTAGCTTGTGTTACAATCCTCTCTCAGACCACAGTGTCATGTTCCTGCTTGTACTGGAATATTCTTATACCACACACACACACACACACACACACACACACACAGAGAGAGAGAGAGAGAGAGAAACTAGTCAACTTTTTTGTTGATGTATTGTAACATCAGAACAAGGTCTCATAGTTGACCCATTAGTGGTTTTCAGAGGCCGTAAATCACATGGGAGAATATTACCCATCTTTCTCCCGCAGAGTAGTTGGAGATTTGAACTGTGTGATTTTGGGTTGGCAACGCAATTCCTTATCACTAAGGAAATAAAAAAGACAAATTGTATTAGGAAAATCTATTGTCAAGGACCTCTCCAGAATGCAGAAGAGCAAGAATGTCAGCCTAGAGACTAAAGTACGCCTGATCTGGGCCATGGTTTTTGCAGTTACTTGCTATGCATCAGAGAGCTGGACAATGACCAAGGTTATCAGTAGTATAATTGATTCCTTTGAGTTGTGATACAGGAGAAGTGTTTTGCACATACCTTGGACTGCCAAGAGAACTAGCAGGCCTTACCTGGAGAGGGTAAAGCCAAGCTGCTCCTTGGAGGCAAGGATTTTGAGACTCCATCTTACATACTTTGGCCATGTAGCCAGCAGGGACCAGTTTTGGAGTAGGATATCATGCTTTAAAGGGTCAAAGGATAGTGCAATGAGTGTCAGAGACAGTGAGAGCTATTGTGCACAAAGTCGCTATGAGTCATAGTTGATTTGACGGCACATAATAACAAGAAGCCACCAGAATCAACTTCTTTGATTAAACCAAGTTCCCTCAGGCTAGAATTTCATCATATTCTAGGTTAGAATCTTTTACTCTGTACATAAATTCCCCAAACTATAACATCATTTACCTCTCCCACACAGCATTTAGATTCAACACCCTACCTTTATCCATATGGATATTTGATTATTTCTTCAACAGACTGAGGTCTGACTGAGTTTATCTCCTTGACTGGTGTGTATTCACAGCACCTCGCACACAGTACAGGGCATACAGCAAGCGCTCCATAAGGATATGTGTGTATGAAAGATATCAATGAATGAATCCAGAACAGCAAACAGGCTTCGTGTAACACTGACTTTTCCTCCTGGGCACTGACTTTCTCATAGTCGATTCAAACAGTAACTGGAGTAATGGGGGTAGGTGTGTCGGAGTCAGTGAGACTGGCTCAGTACGACTCAACAGCATACAACAACTTTTTTATTATGAACTTGTTGAAAGTAACCTGGTTAGTAATTTGGAGAAGTTTCTATTATTACTATTCCTATTTCTCACGGGCTAAAATTGTTAGGGATCTCTAGTGGCTTAATGCCAAGAAACTACGCTGCCAACGCCAAAGTAGCGGGTTCGAGTGCACCACCTGCTCGGCGGGACAAAGACAAATTCACCCCAACGATTTACTGACTCTGAAAACAGGCCCGAGGTCAGTTCCAACTCGATGGTACACAACAACAACAACAACAAAATTGTGGCTAAGGAGATGCCTGCCAAGGTGCACGTACAAAGCCAGGACGAGCAGAGCCGGCAGCCCCTGGAGCACTCCGCCATCCAGAGCCCTCGGGGCTTCCGGACTTCCGCTCCCCGCCGAGCTGCCTAGGCTTCCCGGTCCCGCGCGCCCGCGCACGCCTTAAGAGAGCGCGCACGCTGGGCGGGGCCTGCGGGAGGGAGTGCGCGCGTGCGCAGGCGACGCGCCGAGGGACGAGGTAGAGTCGGGCACCGCCGCCAGGTCCGCTCTAGGTCCACGCCGCCCGTCGCGCCGCCGGTCCAGCGTCCTTTGCTGCCGCTGCCATGGGAGTGCAGGTGGAGACCATCTCCCCCGGAGACGGTGAGTAGTGGCCCGGGGCGGTCCCCGAATGCGCCCCACCGCTGCGCTCGTGCGCTCACCCAGCCCGTGTCTCTGTCTCCGTAGGGCGCACCTTCCCGAAGCGCGGCCAGACCTGCGTGGTGCACTACACGGGTGAGTGTGGCCAGCCTGCGGGGTGGGGGACCGGCCACCGCGACCCTCCGCCCGTGGGCGGCTGCCCATCGCGGCCCAGCGCCCGGGGCGTGGCGGCGGCGAGGCCCGCGTGGCCCGAGGCTGAGGCCTGGGCGGTGGCCGCGCTCCGGAGGGAGCAGCCTCGGGCCTGCGGAACCCGGGGTCGTTGAAAGAGGCCCTTGCGGTGGCTGATCGCGGAGCCCGGACTTCCTCTTCCACCGCAGAGGCAGATGCTGCTGTGTGCCCACTGCACGGATGGGGAAACTGAGGCTGGTCCGATCAGAGTCACTTGCCCAAGGTCACGCAGGAGTGGGAAGAATCCTGGCAGAGACTGTTAAGAAGAATTTGTACCGTTTCTGCTCTGGTTTGACAGCCAATCTCAGCTTTCTGGCCCTGCCGCCTGTGGAGATAAGAAGGGAGCTGGTTCCAACTCTGCCCCTTCCCTCCTGGAGCTCAGGGTTCGTCCCCCGCTGCCGAACGCATTGCTTTGGGACGGAAGTAGTTGAGCGACTTGCCCGTCGCAAACCTCAGTGACTCTGGTGGCCCAGACCGACGGAAAGCTGCCCCCCCCCCATTTCCCACCCAGCGCCCTTGGGATAGGCGCTTTTCTTATCTCCATTTTAAAAGTAATGAAAACCGAGACGCAGGGAGGGGAACGAAGCTAATACAAACCAGAAGAAATTTTGAAACACATAACCCTCTCCCCATCTCCAGCCAGAATTCAAACATGGGATCCCCGATGGGGCCCATCTTTTGCTGCATGCCCTTACAAGGCCTTCCTGCTGGGTTGTCTGGGGCGGGAAGGAAGAGAGGGTTGAGCCTGGCTGTGGGCTGCTGGCTGGAGGAGGTGGGAGAGTGATTTGTGTTACCACAATTGTTAGGAATCAGCGTCCCCCCTCCTACCTTTATCTCCTCCTCCCTCTCTTTCCTCCTCTCCCCCTCCTTTTCCTCCTTTCTCCCCTCCCAGCTTTCTCCTGGATAGCAGGGGGCCCTGGGCAGGTCTGCAGTGCTGTCCAGGGAAATCACCACTCTTCTCTCCCACAAGGAAGGGGAGGGGGTGGGGAAGCCCTCTGTTGTCATTGAAAAGCAACTGACATCTGCCCCTCTCCCCAATGTCCTTTTAGTTTTCTGTCCTTTTCTCATTGGTAGAAATGAGGGCAGGCGTAGAGGATGTTAAGGGCTAGAAGCTTGAAAAGGCTTCGGAGGAGGCGTTATGGAAACCTGTCTTCTAGAGAAAGTCTTATCTAAAGGACAGTGGAAAATGGTTCGGACTTTTCAAAAATCTGCCTTTGTAAGTCATAGTCCTTGACTCTAAGGGTCTAGTGAAGGAAAGCTCATCACTTTGGTCACTTTTTGATACACTGTATTGGAGGAGTAACCCCTTACATTATCTGTCACAGGACTCAAGTGTCGCAGGCTACATAGTAACAGCTCATTCCATTTCCATAGCCATATGGGGTGCAGGCGAGGGCTCTGAGGTAGTTCTGGCCCCGGTTTGTGAGTTGGCTGGGTTAAGATTTGTGCCTCTGATCCCTGGCTCATCCGTCTACTGGTGTTGCTGGCAGGACTGGAGAGCGGCACATAGGCAGGAGCACATTTCACTGTGCCTTTTGGTGAAATGTCCCCACACATCCTGTCTGGAGTCTTTTGCCTACAAGAACAGATGGTAGTGGGACCCAGAACACCATCAGGGCTTTCGATGCCTCCTCTCCAAGTCTGTGTTTTCCTCGCGGGTGGCACCCACCCACACGTTCCCAGAGCAGCAGCAGGACCCTGGCATGCATCAGGACAAAAGCTTGCTTTTTATTTCATTTTTTGATAAGCCCTACAAAGACGCCTTAGTGAGAAGCCAGCTCTGCCTCCTGCTCACAGAATAGACTGTTCTCAGCAGGCAGGCGGGCGGCTTTGTTCCCGTGGGTCTTTGCCACCAGCCTCCCAGGAAGAACCTGTTTGAGACCTGTGGGGGCGTGAGAGGAGTGGGTAGGCACTTTTGAGATCTCATCTGTAGCTGTTAAGGCTTTTAAGTCACTGGGAACAGAATCCTTCTCAGGGGAGCTTGATCAGAAGGAAGAGGTTATCATCATGACCTGGGGGTGTCTCCAAAGGCAGGTAGCCCACTGTATCCCGAGAAGGGAGAAGAAAATCTCATGATGTCTCCAGTTTTCCTCTTTGTTCTACTTTGTTGACTCAGGGGTCTGGTATAGATTGCTATTTCTCTCCTTCTCCAACTGGTGGAGTATGAAAGCCTCCCCTTCTCCGACCCTGCCCCCATCCAGTTTCTGTCTCCCCTTTTGAGGAATTGGCTCAGGCTGTGTTTTCCCTGATTGGAAGGCCCTGCACCACCTCTGTGTGGTACCAGAAGGAACTTGTCCTGTCATCATCCAAGCCTCTCCTCATAGGCAGTTACTGAGGTGAGCGAAAGGCACAAGTTAGGTCAGCAGCCACAGAAGTGCATGCCTTGGTGACCCTTTGATTGTCACGCCCTGTCCCCTCCTTCCCCTCTTTCCCAGTGGGTTCCTGATACAAGGTAGACTTTTGCCCCTTTATGCACACCTGCAGGCCATGCACCTGCCATTGTGAGAGCAGCCTCAGGTGCACTGAAGGAATTGTTTTTTTTAATCTTAAAAACAGCTGGGCATGTTGTCTTTGTGGTAGGCTTTATGTCATTCTAAGCCGTCTGTCTTTTCTTTTTTTTTTTTAAATATATATAATTATGATTTGGTTGAGAGTTTATAGAGCAAATTGGTTTTCTCTTCAACCATGCATACACGCTTTGTTTTAAACACTTCCCCCGTTGTAACTGCACTCTTCACGCCTGTGACTCTTGCCTCCATTCATCCTCTGTCCTCCTCTTCTCCTGCCTTCTCACCGTTATCCCTGTCACATGCTGTTCTTTTGCTCTCTCATGTTTGATTGTAGTAAGGACTGAGCACCTGTCTGGTTGGTTTTGTTATTGTTGTTCTTACAGACTTGTCTGTTGTTTGGCTGACAGCTTGACCATTGGGGTGAATTCCATTCCAGGCTCAAAAGGTGACTAAAGGCCACAAGTCTCTGCACTGGCAGAGAAAAGCCAATGCTTTCTCAGCCCTGTTTCCTTAGGTGGGGCCACTTGACTACAGACCAGACATCCCCACTCCCATAAACCCCTGGCTTTTTGTTGACCTCTGTCCCCTTCTCCCTTACTCCGCCCGCCCTCCTGCTGGCTGTTTCTTGGTTGATCTGGTGTTTGGAACAAGGCCGGCGTCAGGTTGTTTCCCCCAGCTGCATGCCATCTGGAGGCAGACCTGTGGTCAGTGTTTAGGCAGGACTGTGAGCAGACCTCTTTTCCCTTCCTCTAGTTCATGTTTGTTGTGCACCAGCAGCAAGCCTGGCACAGGAGACAGGCCATTGAACACACCAAACCCCTTGATTGCAGTCAGGTCGATTCTAACGCTCAGCCTAAAGAACTGCTTGAGACAGTTTGAACACTTAGAAACTGACTGCCACTCCTTTTTCCTGTGGAGCAGCTGGTAGTCATGTTTTTTGGTTAACAGCCAAGCCTTTAACCCCCGTCCCACAGACCTCCGTAACTAAACAGAGGTCCTTATCTAGTGGTAAGTTGTAACCTGGAGGCAAGGAGGCGAACAGCCTAGTGTGTCTGTGACAGATCAGGTGGTAAGAGGCACTGGAGAGATGAAAGCTGAGTGAGGGGGTGGGAGGCTGCTGCTTTAGCGAGGATGGTTAGGAAAGGCTGCTGACAAAGTGACATCTTAATAGTAACCAAAAGAAAGTTACAGGGTGAACACTGTGTTTAAGGAAAGAAAGCATTGTTGGCAGAAGAAACAGCTAGTGCAAAGGCCCTGAGGCCGAAGTGTGCTCTGGGTAGTAAAGAACAACAAAGAAACCAGTGTAGCTGCAAGAGAAGTGGGTGAGGGAGGAAATGTGTAAGAGATGAGGTGAAGGTGTGGCCTTGTATGTATCTCTGAGAACATTTTGCTGTAGAGGTAAGAGCCAGCAGAGGGTACTAGCAGAGAAGGATCAGAAACTTACTTAGGTTTTCATTGCTGTGTGTTGAATAAACTGTTAGGGACAAGAGGACAACACTAATTATATTCTGGGTTTGTAGAGAGTATGGACCCAGCAGGGAGACGAAGGTGATACTAGATCCAAAAGAAGCCTTTTTCTGGACCTGTGCCAGCTGGCTCCATGCACCTGAGTATACTAGCAGTTGGCGATGAAGCCCACCCTGGGTTCACTTGTTCTTGTACCATGAAATTGTCCCGTTTTTCTCCGTTTCCATATCTGGTGAATAGTAGTACCAGTACCTGCTGTGAGGAGTTGCTGAGGGGGTTACAGCTGGGGATGAATGTGTTTTGGGAAGGACAGCAGTAGTGGTGGTGTTATCCCACCTGTAGGGCCGGTTCCAGTTTTCCGGGTCCCAGGTGCTGTATCCTCCTTCGATGGCATTGACTGTAATGTTCGGAGTAGGGAAAAGGCAGAGAGTCATTGCATTGTATCAGCCCTGCAGACTCACTCACTCACTGCTGGTGAGGAGGAGCCGGCGCCCCGCTGACCCTGCAGCACTCGCCAAGGCCGTAAATAGCCCAGGAGATCGTCCATCCCCGAGCTGCTGGTGAAGTTGAACTGCCAGAGAGGTGCGTCTTTTGGGTTAGCACCGCAGCTTCCTACCAGCTGTGCCACCACTGCACCGTACTCCGTTCCCGTTCTCTGGGGTGGCCCAAGCTAACGTGGCAGGGATTAGTCCAGCCCTGAGTGGGGCCAAGGCTCTTTTCATCCTTCAGAGGCACCTGGAAAGGGAGCTGTGGCAGCCTAGTAGTAAACTGTCCTGCAATCCCAAAGGCACACAGTTCAAATCCACCAGTCGTTCCGTAGGAGAAGGATGGGCAGTCTCCTCCTGTGTGATTAACCGCCCCTGGAAACCCGCTGGAGGGTCAGCTGCGGGTCGGTTCTGACACAGCAACAACACACCGAAAGGAGAAATG